CCCCCCCCCCCCCCCCCCCCCTTGAATTTTGGAGAAAAAAACCCAGATAGGTCTCTGGATCCGTCATTGGACAGTACTAGTGCGCGTGGATTTTAACTATCATGCGTTTTATGTGAGATTGATTTCTGTTTAGATATAAGGATGAACTGCTGAAGCAGATCCATGTGACTATTGTTCCAAGTAAGTGTTTTATTACCTATCACTTTATTAGATACATTGTAAACTATTATTTCGATTTTATAATCAGGACAGAAATTATTTGGTATATTTCATTTTATTTATATTCGGATAAGCTGTCATATAAACATCGGTAGACTAGACAGCCTGAGGATAATATGTTTAATTTCACAGGTAACTGCATACATGTGTCCAGAATACAGTTTGCTGTTAGCTTGCTGTTAAAGTATAATGATGTAAAAGTACACGAAAAAGATTGATCGAATTTTTTTTCAACTTCGTCAATATTTTTTTTTTAAATACCAGATTCCACAGTGAGTCAGTACACTATTTGTATAGGTACATTGTACTAAATTGTATTTGTATTGTTTTACGACCAATCGACAATTTGAGTCGTTTAGGGCCAAACAACAACCTAAAAAATAGACATTCACAAAAATCTGAATACATAAAAACCAGAAACAAAATATTAAAATGTGTAAAAATGTCAAACTACAATGTATATCAATATCAGAGCGTGTCTGAGTTGCCCTTTACAAGCACTTGAATTCAATATATTGTTAAGCATGGAACGGTCTGGGCAAACGATATTGGCAGTGGTAGATATTAAAAGACGAAATAGTAAAGGAGTAAAGTTTAAAACTTAAGCGCAAATAAAATCACTTAGCTAAGAAAACGAAGCAAACTTTTTAGAAATTTAAGATTTCCCTATAGTTTGAGGGTCGCCGCTTGACAGCTCTTGACTCGACACAATTCTCGATGCAATACATTCGTTTTATTATACTGTTACAGTATATGCATTTTGGCAGTAGTCATGGCATAGTTCCTAAAAGACAAAATTAACAAAGGATTGCAATATCCCATGGAACTCGAACATCAGACGCAACTAATCTTAGTCATTAAGCTTAGCGTTAATGCTGTAAAAGTTTCAAGGAAACCTAGATAACAATAATAAATTGTCTTCAGTATTGAGATATTGTCTCTTCAATTCAAGTTTGGTCAATTTTTTTTTTATTTTATCTAGTTTTAATTACTTCACTGATGAAACACATCTACTTGTTTTAGGCTCCAAAGGAGATCTAGACTATCCGACGCCTTCCACTCACTGCAATGTATTGCCTCGCGCCTTCACATGGAACAGTAGTGTACCGTCAGGCTTCCTCTACAGGGGAGTGTATCACAACCTTCTCTGCCAGCCCACAGTAGACCGAAGTAAGGAGAAGTATCTGGTGTGTCTTAAAGACAGACCTGTCATTTCGATTGGTGATTCAACAACCAGGCAGTGGTTCTTCCGTCTTGCGTCTTTCTTAAATATCAAGGATTCGGCACATATTTCAGGTCATGCATGGCAAAAGTTCGCCCGTGCGTATAACACCACATTGGGATTGGACACTGAATGGCAGCCGCACGAGCTTCCCTTCCACGGGTCACCGGGGTCAGATAGGAAAACCGTTAAGTCTGTAGCCCACAGACTGGACAAAATCCCGGGAAACAGCTCTGCCATTGTAATCATCCACTGGTATGCCCACATCGCGAGGTGCTGTGATCACGTAGATTTAAGGGATCACGTGCGACATGCAAAGGCTGCCGTTGTGAGGCTTCTGACGAGGTCCCCGGATGTTCAAGTTTTCATTAAAGGTCCTCACCTCATAACATATATCAATGCAAACAAGCCATATGCCTACATTGGAATGTTCGTGGAACAGGTTTTACTGGAAGAGTTCAATGATTTACTGGACAAAGTAATTTACCTTGACCAGTGGGACATGTCAGTGGCAACCGAAAACGTCAATATTCATCCAAATACACTGTTGGACGATATATCACTGAATAATCTGATCAATTTTGCATGTAAAGCAAGTTAAAGCTTGTTGTTTATATAGCCTTTCAGGGTTAAGTGTAATTGTATATAGAAACCTCGACAGTTTGTGCTTAGAAGTTTATCCTTCTATAGAGTAACAAGCAATAAGTTAATCAATTTTCTTGATGTATGCAGATGATATGGTGCTATTGGCCGACAATGCTGAGGGTTTCAAAAATACTAGATACGCTAATAAGATTAAGTGCCTTATAGTAATCACAATGTCCGTCAACAGTTTAAATTCTCGAGAATATCTCTAAATCCAAATGACTAATCTTTCTGAAACTGACAGGTGATACAGAGTGAAAAGTAGATGTGCTGTTTTGTTAACGTTTCACTCCCAATACGATCATCGACCAACAGTTCACTTTAAGCAAATGACATTATCGAAATATTTCAATTTCAACGTGTCGGTTTTGGTCAAACATCAAAAGATGCATTACCAATGCTACCAACTCTTCACTGCTTTTATGTAAGGATTTTGCGTTGATTTAGTTCTATTTCGATTTTCCTACGAATGCAAATGGAATATGTACATTCACATTTTTTAACCATACGTTCAAATCTCATAACTTTTGCAAGCATGTCGCAAAATCATATTGAGTAGACAAACTCTCGTTCAACTAGTATTTGTTGTATCATCCAAGGTTTACCTAAATGGCATTCAATACCATTTTACATAAAACGAGAGTTGGCTTATTCTATGAAATTGCCAGAAGATATAGAAATGCGTATATTATATCTAGCTATAACGAGGCCTTGCTAACCCTGTCGTATTGGTATTAATATGATGTGAAATATTTTTCTTTTTTCAAACCTTACATTTTTTTTAATCAAGTTTATTCACAATTAACACAATTGACATACTATACATAAACTCACACATTCACAAATTGAAAACCTTATTCATATCTATTCAAAATACTTAATATATGCTAGTTCGTGTACATTAAAAACTCACATCATATGTTTAACACACACATTAACATGTTAAGCTGCTAATTGCATGTTACATACTGACCTACTGTTGATCGGAAATTAATACATATATTGCACTCGCACCTTTGACATAACTCGCATATTAACAAAAATATCGGACTCACTCTTTAATGTTTTAAGCTGGCACATTCTACCACTTTCTGCCCAATTTCTAAAAATTAATAGGTTTTTCTTAAACAATAACTTATGGTTAAAAAATACACTTTGGTTTTAAGTTTATTTTTTGGAAATATTGTTGTATATTCTTAGTAATATTTGCCAGTGTACTAGTGCCCCCTCATATATTGATGGTATTTTTAGGGTTAGACTTTTTGTACTAATGCATTTACATAAAAAATAGTTAGTGCAAAATTTCATTTCACAACTTTGTAACCAATATTTTCCCAAAATATTCCATGTATCAGTTTCACTGTGTATAATTCTGTATATAAGTTGTATTCTACTAATTTTTATGATTGTGTTTATATCAATCATTGATAACCCCCCTTTTGCTCGTTCCGAGTAGCATGTTTATTTTTGATACTTTGTTAACTTTGCTGTTTCATACATATTCATATATCAAATATTGATTCGTCTTATGAATTTGTCTACTATAGTATTTTGATTTAGTTCATATCTGCATAATGAGCACATAATGGATTTTACTATTAAGACTTTCTTTTTAGCAAGAGACCTCTTTTTTCCATGTAATGATGTTTTCTATTTTACTTTTTTATCATCGAATTTTTTGTTCTTGTCATGTAATATGCCTAGTGCTTTAACATTACCTTTCGTCCAAGTTTTAGCTCTAACGTTTGGAGGCTTCTATACGACCTATATATATCCCTTTAGTCTACTTAAGATGACCTTTTGCACCTGAAGCTTTCTCGTATTTGTTCAGTACTTCAAATATTATTGGTATTGACTATTCTTTTCCTATAAATAATGGCGAATCGTCTGTAAACATGCTTATTTTTGCTTGACGTTTCATTTTATTTACCTCTGGTAAATTGATACCTTAAATATTTTTAATGCTTCTAATCGTGCAAGTCATAGGTTCCGCTTGCAATATGTAGAGCATCTGTGATGAAGGGCATCCCTGTTTTACTGATCTACTGGTAGCGAAGAATTTTGATAAATGAACGTTAATGAGCATACAACTTTGAGACTTTTTTATACGTCATAGTAACATTTAGCCATCTGATCATATTTTCCCAAAAATTGATTTTTTTTCCAACCATCCCCATTCTTCTCTGTCAAACGCTTTTTGTTGGTCTTCAAAGCTTATTGCCCCATCTTTGTTTTCTGAATCTACACATTCCATTATATCTGATATCAATCTTATCGACTCTTCTATTTTCCTTCCCTTGATAAATCCGCTCTGATCTCCATGTATTATTTTGGGCAAAATGGGTTAAATCGCAAAGCTATTTTTTGGTAATCATCTTATAGTCGGTATTTGAATGTGTAAGTGGCCTCCAGTTCGCAATATCTTGTCGTTCTCCTTGTTTATACATACATGAAAGCGTAAGTAATCCTTTGTATTGGGTTGTTGATAATTCTTTTTTATCAAATATCTCTCGTACTATCTCTATGAATTTTTTCTTAATTGTATTCCAATACATTTGGTAAAAATGTTCGGGTATTCAATCTGTCCCTGGAGATTTATTTTTTAAGGGTATTATTGGCTCCTAATATTTCTATTTCTGTAGGGTGAGTTTCACATTTATCCCTAAAATTGTCATTAACTGATGATTGCATATTTAGTAATAGCTGTTCTGCTTCCCCTTCATCCCAAACCTCTGTAGTATAAAGTTTTTGGTAAAAAATGACTTATTCATTTATTATTCTATTAAAATAAAGCTGTAACAACCATCTGTGCATTAAGCCGTTCTCCATAGTTTTTGTACTCTCCTTACTGTTTCCAGATTGAAAAATAAGCGCTTAATATTTTTCCCTTCTTCATACCATTTTATTCTAGATCTGATTCTTGCGGCTCCCGATTTATCTCTATAATGTTTTTCTATCTTTTCTTTAAGTCTTTTTGATCTTATCGCATCATTTGCCATACCCATATCTTAACTCAGTTGTAGTTTTCTCACTTCTGACTCCATTTTCTGGATATTGTCTTTCCGTGATAAGCTATATGCTTTACACAATTTTTGGATTTTCAATTTTGTCATATCCTACCATTCTCGTTTGCTATCAAAATGCGGTATTGAATTTTTCCAGTTTCCCCAGAAAGTCTTAAAGATGTCCCTGAAATGGCTATAATTTATAGTTTTTGTGTTCATTTTCCAATACCCTTTACCTCTCTCCGCTTCATGTAAATTAATAGTTATTTATGGCGGTCCAAAGTGATCATTTCTGGTAAATTGACAAATATCTAGCATTGTTTTAACTACTAGGGCGTCTAAAGAATTTTTAATTGTGGAATAGTCTAATTTTGCATATTATCCTTCACTATTAAAAGTGATCCTTACAATCTTGATATCCCTAAACAAGGTAGCAGCAGGCGTTAATGATCATGTTTATATTATATATTATTATATAATTGTAGTATTATCTTTAGTGGCTATATTCTGGCTCTTTTTTCCGGTGCGGTGATGTTGAGTTAAACCCTTGGCAAACGTTAGACATAAACACGTCATCTTCTTCTTCAAACTAAAACTCAAAAGTATATCAAATCTCACCAATTAATCTTTTGTTTACTTGATTTATGGAGGCACAGTAGTCTAGTGGTAGGACGCCGGGCTCGTGACCGAAAGGTCGCGGGTTTGAGTCACGGCACTGTTTTGTATCCTTGAACAAGATACTTTACTCCGCTTGTTCCAGTTTCAGCTGTAAATGAGTACGTGGTTGAGAAGAGCTTGAATTGTTGAATGCTAGCTGTGAGCGCCCAAAATGGCAGCACCGGCTGTATGTTCCCTAGGGAGTTGAGAACAATATTGGCTGGTTGCAAAGGCCCTATAACCCCGGATAGTAGTTAGTGAACCGCTTTGAGACGAACTTTGAACTACGTTGTGACAAAGCGGTACATAAGAACCTTGAACTATTATTATTATATTATTGTACAAAGCCTAAATTACAAACTAGATATATTTCACACAGAGCTACGGGAATGTAGTATATAACATTTCACAGAGACTTGGCTGAGTCGGATGGTAGTGTGTCGTTAAATCCTACCGGGTTTCATGACTCATTTTGTATTTACCGAAATGATCGAATAGTTTTTAATTTGTTTAACACCCTATTAACAACTAAGGTCATTTAACGACATGCCTACATGTGTGATGTGTATGCGAACATGTGTGTATGTGTGCTGCAGATAGGACATGTTCGTGTACATGTCTCCTCATAATAGAGCGGATCTGATGCCGACTTCATAGTGCTATCTCACTGAAATACCATTAACTCTAGAATAGAATCGAACTATAGACAGATAAAGCTTTTAATAAGGGTATCTGCGATATAATTATAATGGGATAGTTTAACGTAAATCTACTTTTGGTATGTAACGATCAATCACGTAATCTACTTAGAGATACAATAGATGAACTCGCTAAAATTTCTATCAAAGAACAGCTAAGGTCATTAACGGACTGCCTCCATGTGTGTTGTGTATGTGTGCCGGAGGCAGGGTATATTGGTTCTTTGCCTTCTTGTGATAGCGCGGATCTCATGCCAATGGTGTTTGGCGGAACTCCTTTGCTGACCAGTTTCTGAACGAGATGTTTTCGAGCACTGTTATTTGCTTTTTTATCACCAGATAATCCAGCAGCGATTAACATCCGTCCGTCCGAGGGGAACGGGTGTTTCCCCGTTGAGGTCGTGCGTTGCCCCGTTGATGTTAGCGTTCTTACTAGGGGCGTAGAGATTCCTTGGGCGTTGGGAAAGGAGTAGACGTAGGACTTTCATAGGGGAAGGTTGGTTTTGAGCTGCTGACGGCTCCTACAATTTTGGATCGTTCAAAACCCGTGTAGCTGTCAGTATGCTTGGTTTGTAGGATAAGGGAAGCAACTCGTAGATTAGGATAAGGGGATGGACGGGGGATTTTAGTAATATTTTCATTTTTTGAAGATAATTTAACTTTGTCTATTTTAGCGTACTTTTGGTGGTACTTTTGGTGTTTTAGACAGTTGAGTTTGACTTAAATCATTCATAGAGCCTAGTGATCAGAATATTTCTAGATCCGTATTTTATCCATTTGCTAATCCTACTATATTTCATCTAGAGTTGGTATTTTATAGTATTCATTGCACATTGCAAGTTCTATTTATATTCATTGGCACTTGGTTCATTTCTGTTGTTATTTAAACTACAGTAGGGATAAATAGACTTGTTTTGTCCCCTACATATATCAGATAGTTCTGGTATTCAGGGTTCAGCCATAGCTCTACCTTTATTGTACATCATATTTATGAGAGAATTTGGAGAGAGTCTGTAGAATTGTTTTTTCTGTCTCTGTGTAATTACATATTGGGTTCCCTTAATAAACGGTAACCGTACAGGTGTGCGTAAACTTATCCCATGCTTTCTAGTTCTTCTTTAGTTACTTAGATATAGTCAGTCAGTACGACTTGGTTTGGAAATACCATATAATTTCCTGGGTGCTTGTCATAAGCATTTAGTGGCATTTGAAAATAGTCATGCTCTCTATGTAAATTTTCTATACTATATCAACTGGAGTATCCAAATTTGGTGTACAATGACATCTTGTGATGGCGGAATGCATAGTACAAAAATGAGTAAATGTGATCTATGACTTGACCTTTGACCTTTAATGTTTTATAAAGTTTGTCCGGTGAATATCTTCTATACTTTTTTATGACCCGGAGTACAAGCACATATGGGGATGGAGGACTGAAGTGGGCAAAATTGGGTCACTATGATATATGACTTGACCTTTGACCTTTAATTTTGAAAATGTGTTTCCAGTGCAGATCTCTTATATTTTATCACCTGGAGTAGCCAGATTTGGTGCACAAGGATATCTTGGGATGGCAGAGTGCAAGAATAAGGTCACTGTGAAATATAACTTGACAAATGATACATTGGGTTGGCGGAGTGCAAGAGGTAGGTCAATGTGACCTCACTGTGACACATGCCTCCTGATATAACTTTAATGTTTATTTGTTCCATACTGTGGCGTCCGTTGTCTGTACGTCGTCTGTCGTCCGTCGTCCGTACGTCAACAATTTTTTCAAACGACTTCTTCCTAACCACTGATTGGAATTTAACTAAATTTGACTGTAAGCATCTATTTGTGGTGGTGATAGCTGGATGTGGTTTCTGATGGACCGAAAATTTGCAACTTTAAGTTAAGTTCTATTGGGTAGAATTAATGTGTCTTGGTGAAACCGTCAGAAATATGCTTGCTACCCGATTGTAGGTTAATTTGGAAGGTCGTTTAACTCCCTTACAATTAAATACTACGTGTGGTGATTATAACACCTGTTATTAATCAAATCTATCACAAAATGTTAAGTATTTTCAATCTACTAGGAAAAACCTTAGTTATTGGTATTATTGAAATATTCAATTGGTAAATCAAACAAGAAAACATGATTAATTCTTTTGATTGCAGAGAAATGCTTGATACTTCGTTGAGAAGAATGACTCCTGTTTAGACGATGAAAATATGAACAATTATTGGACGATCAATAATCTCAATAATGACGCATGTGATGACGTCACGAGATAAGAAGTAAGAGAAAACAATATTAGTCAAAATGGCCTAAAGCCCCTAAGGTCAGAGACATCGCTGATTTCCACATGATTAACAAACTCAGAAAGCGTACACAATGCAAACGTATATTTTATATTATAAAGTTTATGAAATTCAAAAGAGAACATCAGGTGAGAGTTTCAAAATCTTTTAGATAAAATTCTTCTAGGAAATCGAAAAAGTGTTTTGTAAAAACTATGAATCGCTTCTAGCAGTGGACATAAATATTACCTATGCCCTGACTGGAACATAGAACGATAAATACACGCCTTTTTAATCTAGCCACCACTGATATTATTATCCCAATTGACAGCTAGAGTGTTTTGGAACAACAGAAGTTTTCCTAGTATTCCAGACGATTTACTTTCATTTTAGCTGGGAACGAAGATGGCTGAACAAACGAAACATCCCTGAACATTATTACTCATACAACATTTAATAAAATCTAAACCCAATTGAATACATTATCATTGCTGACTGGTATGAAATATAGTGTATAAATAAAGAATATGCATTTTTTCTGTAATTTCTGAGTTTTCCATGCTACAATATATGACGGTAGAGCATTAAACAGACTAAAACATATCTAATAAAATGTATCTAATTAAGCACAATACTATTATTTCATACTGCAGACTTATAAGTTGTATATATAACAATAAATATGGAGTGTATATTTACGTTTAACATAATGTTGTACACTTATTAAAGCAAAATAATTATATTTTCATTTTATATCATACATTTTTGAAAAACGATCTATTCAACAATTTAACATCAATAAATTGTAACCCGGCCGAGCTTATTCTGCTGAAACAGACTGAAAGTGTCAGTGATTCCAGGTTTGTGTTTTTATATACACTACTATCACAATGACCTTATATATTCAACATGAAAATGTTAATGCTATCAATCTGTCTTTATAAATGAGCAATTAGTGGTGTTTACAAAAATATAGAGTTCGTGTTTGATAATATTCTCACGTAATATAATAACACACATTTTTCAAAGCAATTTTGTCAATCGTGAATTTTCAATATAGTTTTGCTGCATCGAAGCAGCATCGTCTACTGTATATATTGTAAATGTAGGACTCAGTTGCTAAACATCAATAAAACGTTCGTAACTAGCAATTTTACACATCTGCTTCTTCCTCCTCGTCGTCTGATAGGTCGTAATCATTACAAGAAGCCTCCTGGTACTGTTGGTACTCAGAAACCAAGTCGTTAATGTTGGACTCGGCCTCTGTGAACTCCATCTCGTCCATACCTTCACCAGTATACAGATGAATGTAGGCTTTCCGCCTGTACATTCCAGTAAACTGTGTAGACATACGTTGAAAAATTTCTTGAATCGAAGTATTATTCCCTATAAAGGTGGCCGACATTTTGAGATTTGGCGGGGGGATATCACAAACAGCTGTCTGTATATTGCATGGCAACCATTCAACAAAGTGGTTTGAACTTTTATTTTTCTGATTAAGCATTTCTTGGTCAACTTCTGCCATCGACACCCTACCTCTAAAGATGGCTGCCACTGTGAGGTAACGTCCTTGACTCGGGTTACAAGCTCCCAGCATGTTTTTGGGGTCAAAGATTGCTTGGGTTAACTTAGCAACAGTAAGCGAACGGTAAAGGGCGCCTCCTCTGGAAATAAGTGGAGCAAATCCGGGGACGAGAAAGTGGAGACGTGGAAAAGGTATCATATTTACAGCCAATTTACGGAGATCTGTGTTCTGTTGACCAGGGAAGCGCATAGATGACGTCACACCGGACATGGTATTGGAAACGATATGATTTAGGTCGCCATAGCTTGGTGCCGTGAGCTTAAGTGTCCTGTAGCATATGTCAAAAAGAGCCTCGTTATCGATACAGAATGTTTCATCTGTATTTCCCAGTAGCTGGTTAGCCGACAAGATGGCGTTGTACGCCTCCGTTATTACCTCAGAGACCTACAATGAAGAATCCGGTATATGTTATGTTATATAGTATAACCTTCTTAACTGGGTGTCTTAGGGGCAAACTACTTTGCCCTGCCTGTTCTTTAAGGGAAAGAAGATACTAAATAAAAATTATATATAAGGTACATGGCATTTGGTGTGTCCAGGTTGTGGCTTAAAAGTGCCACCTCACACGTGATGTCATTTCGCAGACCCTGTTCCACCCACCTACAAGAAACACATTTCAGACGTATGCGTCAAAAATGGGGTAGGTGGATTTTCAAATGACAATTAAGGGCAATCAAGGGTATATTAACATAATTTTATATTGATACTTTAAACATCAACAGAAACATGTATATGCATATATTCATTTTAATATACTGAAACAAATTTACACAATTATCAAGGGTAATAATCGCCCAATTATTAGGCATATCCACAATTGTAGAAACATACAGGTTTAAACAGATTCACATTTGGAAATAAACAATACATTAAATACAGTGCTAAGTCATTTTCCTTAAATCATGGGTTTGTAAATTATTATCAGATACAGAGTGTAGAAATAGAAATAAGACCACGACACACTACACACTTCGTCGGCTGACTTGAGTTGCATGATGAACGTTCCTAAATTGGGTAGCTTTTAATTTTATATAGTAAAGCAAAATGTGCGTCTGTTAGAAATGAATATTCAATTTATCATGTATTTGTGTTCGGTGATATATCTCGAACTTATGGTCCTAGTTTGTATTTTCAGTCAATTTTTATCGACGTTATTTGCCTTGTGGCTTCGTTGTCAGTAACCCGGTTCTCTTTTGAAAAAAAAAGTGACCATATTTGGATTTATTTGAATTAGCTTAACAGGGCGGATATCTTCGATGAAACAGAGTTAAGGCGCTTAGCTTTATCTAACACCTGACCTTATCCTCCTTGTAATTTGCCGTGTAAATGTTTCCTCTGTTCATTTTTTGTCTTAGTTTTATCGATTTGAAGTACGAGTTAAGAATAAGATCTTGATATTGCTTCCCTCCCATAGAAACAGAGTAGCGTGTGTTTATAAAACATTTGAAAGATCAAAACTTGTGTCATGTTTATGTTAAACAATACCTGAGTTTCAAAATTCCGTGTTTTGATGAAAGTGACATTCTCTATCTGTAGTATTCGGGAACAATAATTAATTAAGCTCTTACCTTTCGAGATGGCATTACCGAATATGTGCACATAATCCGGTCCGAGTATTCGTCTCGTACTTTAGATGCTATAAGGGTTCCCATACCAGATCCGGTCCCTCCTCCGAGGGAATGAGTCAGTTGGAACCCTTGTAAACGGTCACATCCCTCGGCCTCTTTCCTAACCACCTCAAGAACCTGCTCGACAAGTTCAGCTCCCTCCGTGTAGAAACCTTTCGCCCAATTATTACCTGATCCATTCTGTCCAAAAACAAAGTTGTCTGGATGGAATATTTGTCCGTACGGCCCGGATCTTATAGCATCCATTGTGCCTGGCTCGAGATCGACTAAAACAGATCGGGGCATATAACGTCCGTGTTCTGATTCATCAAAGAAAACATTGACACGTTCTAACTGTAGATCAGTCCCCCCTCGACAAACTCCAGTGGGGTCTATACCATGGTCACCACATATCACTTCCCAGAACTTTGTGCTGATTTGATTCCCACATTGTCCAGCTTGAATATGAACTATTTCTTTCATCTTGATATCATTTATTTCTCTTTTTCTTCTTTTCTTCCATTAATGTACACAATTCCTCCGCAGCCTCACCAAGCAATGTCTATTCTCAATGATCGTCAGGGACTAATGTCTTTGTATGAGAGCTTTAACAAAGACAACTGATGGAGGGGTTATCAGATTAACTTAAACGCTCTGTCTCCAATCGTAACGAATTACACACCTTAGATAATTATAAATGATTAGATAATTAAATAAAGTATTTGAATGTTTCCACTAACGAATTACACACCTTAGATAATTGTAAATGATTAGATAATTGAATAAATTATTTGAATGTTTCCCCTAACTTGTATTTACAATTATGACAAAGTGCTTATATTACCTTTAATTATCTTTCACGTGTTAGTTTTACTTACACGAGTCATGACATGCTTAGACACTAATTGATAGCTATTTATAAAACAATAAAAATATGATGATATTGTTAATTCGTGCTATTTATGTATTTTTTCAATGTAAATGTTAAAAAACACCACAATTAAACACTTATTTCGATTCTTCACATTTATTTCCCAATCTTCACATAATGAGCAGAATTTAACAAACGAGAATGATTAATTTATGGATGGACGCATGCGCCTGTGTAAACTGACAAGTCGTCGATGGCGATATCGCCTAGGTCACTGTTTCCGATCGAAGCTTGTAGTACCAGCTGGCAAAGAAAAACAGGCTTTTTATTCGGATATTTATTTCATGATTTAGTTATTGACAAATCAAATACAAATTTTTGTCATGCTAAGTTAAGTGATACGATTGTTAAAAGAAACTCCATACTAATTCGACTGCCCTGATCTCGTTTAACAGAAATGATTATGCAGTTATATTATCGATTTGAAATAACGATAACATTTGCCGAGACAGGTTAAAACGTGTAAAACACGGACTAATTTAAACTTAAAATGTATCCAATTTCGTACATTTGCAAATGAACACATGCTGAATTATAATATCTCACTCTGTCAATTTATGCTTTTAACATAAATTGACAGATTTTGGAGCATATCACATGTATCTTACATGTGATATTTTATAAATTGAATCACATTAATTATAATATCTCACTCTGTCAATTTATGCATTAAACATAAAATAATAGTCTGTTCTTAAGATTTTGGATCATTAAGATATTCGATGACATACCTTAAAACTCCTTGGGACGGTCAGTGTAATGAACTGTGTGGTCCACTGATTAACCTGACTGCCGGGGAATCGCTTAAAGGTGTAATCAATCCCGGTACCTTCTGCTTTCATGCTGAACTCCTTCACACCAGATCCGTAGATGAAGTAGGAGAAAGAGATACAGGTCTGACCAGATGGCAGGGTATCTGTGATTAGGCGGGCGACCTTATTGTGATGGTGCCTGGCCTGGGCTAGATAGTACTTACCTGTAAAATAATAAAGTATCATTAAAGTAAGGAATCACGTCGCTTACCTATATCATAACGCCAATGAAGCCGACACGCCCAAAACCAATAACAGGACACTATTAGGAAAGCAACCCAAGAGAATGGCATACAAATACTTTTTGTTATTTAATTTTGCTGAATGAAACTTGTCATTTAATCTTTGTACCTACTCAAATAATTGTTAATTTTGGTAATTCCATTTTAGATTGAAAATAGAAAGGATTTTCTTTTTTATTTACATGTCATCCCGCGCTACTTATTTAATGTATTTTACGTTCAGGAACCTATTTTTCGAAATATAATGCTGGTTTTTATTTGCAATTTAGTCAGAACCTACTTGGAATATCAAAAATGCAAATGTATGTCTTTAATCCCATTTCAATCGTTGGTTTACTACAGATAATTGTGAAACGTATGATCCTGTAAACCGTACCCGACCACTATTTCCGGGTTTGACAAAAGTCTTATAAGGTCAGGTAATGAAGAGTTCAGTGGTGAATGTGTCACTAGGTAGTTTAAAGTAAATAAAATACAAGTAAACACAGATCAAACCTTCATTGTAATTGGTCAAAATCAATTATATTTAAAATAAAATGAAATAAGATGATGTGTAAACTACTTCTGCACATTATAGGAGACACCGCTTCACCTTACCTGCTGAGTTAGTGTGGTCAGCGTTCGGACCAGTACCGTGAGTGTGCGTGGCACCCGAGTGTTGTACCCAGTTAAAGGTATCAGTGGTATCCTGGTGGAGATGTGAACAGGTCGTCTCGAAGTCACAGTTTATTATTTTATCTGTGACATAGTTTAAACAGCATTTCATTCAATAATCAGGCAAGGATATTATATATATGGAATATCAGAGGGATTGGGAAATATGCTTAGAGCTTATATCAATTCCTCTCCAAATAATGTGGCGTTGTTTAAAAAGGTGATCTAAGAAATTTGAAAATGATAGCAGCTAGCCGATACTTATGCAACATTAGTCAATTCAAAATACTTTATTGATAATACAGACAAAGATAATTACAAGTATTACATAAAAAAATATAACAGTACATGTATTAACAAAAGGATAAAAAAAACAGGCTTAGCTTATAAAAGTTGTTTCCAACATTAGTCCAAGACAAAAGAAAAGAATGAACGTTTATATCTGATGAGAATCAAGAAAGGAACAGATGAATATCTTAGATATTAATTTCTTTCTTCTGCTCTTCACACTTAACAACTAAAATTGATTGTAGTTGCATTTAAAATACCTAATTAAATACAAAAAAACGCACAGAGAAAGAGTGATTGCATTTGCTGAAGGTTCAAACGTTTCCAATAGCCTCACCTGTTTCTACTGTATACAATTAACAATAAATCTTACGTGGTAATGACGGCTCTGCTATATGGGATAGATCTGAAAGATAAACAACTCCTTATTATGTGTGTTGTGATGAGTTGGGGTAACGCTGGTTATTCATTTCCCATTCATAAACTGGTGTAGATTTCACGTATATTTAACAAACCGGTAGAAAGAGAGTTTATTTGTAAAATTCATTACATCTGTGATGTGTAAGAAGCCCTATTTTATATACAGAAGCGACAAACACTTGTCTTCTTTGCGACGAAACAATAACAAAATTTCAACGCACAATGTGAAGATAGATACGTTCAGTAATGATATTTTGTCAAAAACAAATCTTTAACCTCTTGCGATTTCTTACCTCAGATAATTCTTGTTTTCAAAAGAATGAGAGAGACAAAATCTACATTCTCTTCCATTCAGCCCTACGGCTTACAAGTTAAATAATATGCACTTGTCAACCTGTTGGGTGCGCGACACTGAAGTTCAAAGTTGAAAAATATCTATTGATATTACCTTGCACGTGCCTGACCCCTGTGAGGGGTCACCATATAAAAAGGCATACCCAAGCCTTGACACACGCTTTTTTGTCAGTCAGGGTGCGTGACAGACATTAAGCCAGAAGGGAAGGATATCTTGCGGGTCTCGCGTCCGCGATTTGCATTTGCTTGGTAAAAGTAACTGCAATTTGAAATTATTTTATTGATACCTTTCCTTCGCTCCGCGAATTTCATGTGTTTACATTTCGTTATCAGCTGTTTTGTGAAATTTGAGTTATGCGTCGTAAGCAGGCTCGCGGTAAACGGTTGCCTTTGTCAGTAACTTTCGATGCTGATAATTGTGATTCTGACAATGACCTCTCTCTCCATCCAGGAGAAACAGAGGCAGAGGGGTGTGACGATTTCTTTCCGGAACCCCTTCCGAATTTAAATTCGGGCCTAAGCGACTTTGTCGCTTGTGCAAGTGATAATGACTCTGCACAGCCGCAGTCACCGAACGTTGTTCGGAACGACAAACATAGCGGCGTCGGAGGCGATGCCTCGACTATTCTTTTGCCCCGTGGGGGTAGGAAACGTCCTGTCGGTACTGAGGCTGCCGCTGACAGCGAGTTTCAACTCATGACGAAAGGTATGAGGGCTCTGGAGGAGCAGTTAGCAGACGTTAAGCGTGACCGGGCGAGTTCCGGTACAGGAAACCGAACAACTGGTGGGTATGATATTCATCATATTGATAATGATTATGTTGTTGACAGTTTTGACTCAGATTTTTTGAGTATGACAGACCCGTTGGGTCTTCAAAATAAAGATCAATCTTCAGTTGATTTAGATTATATATACTCTGATATTTTACCCACAGAGGAAGGTCATATGGAGGATTTGTTTGCCATCCCTGACTATGTTTATGGTGACGTAAAGTTGGGCCCTAGTGTTCACGAGGGACTCGCCAAGCTTGTAAATACTGCTTGTAGGAAAACTTCGGACGTTTCTAAAATGGCAGAAAAGTACCCTATACCGGCAAATTGTGCCGACTTGACCGTCCCACGATGCAACCCTGAGGTTTGGGGTAAACTTGGTAAGCCTTTACAGGCAAGAGATTTTCAGCCCAGAAATCTGTGCCTGACGGCATGGTACCGGTGATGAGGCTGACTGAGGCTCTTATGAGCCATCCGGACTTTCGAGAGAAGTTCAGGCCTCTGTGTATCGACGCTCTGTCCATGCTAGGTAATGCGGTACATGCATTGTCTGTGAAACGTAGGTTTCTTATGAGACAAGCCCTCCCGCCATCATATCATGCCTTATGTGGGAAGGACATGCCAATAACTGCAAATCTATTTGGGGATGATCTTGCAAAGAAGGTGAGAGACATTTCTGAAGCTAATAAGGCTTTCAATGTTTTGTCTTCACGTAAACAGGTACAGCGAGGAGGTTGGAATGGCGGCCAGAGAGGGCGAGGGGGCTATGGCCAGTACAGAGGCTCAGGGAGGCCTTTTTTACGGTCAAGCCAGCGGGGCCGGGGACAACGGCGACCCGCACACATGCAGCAAGCTCAGAGCCAGAGCCAGACACAGAAAAAAGAATAGCCCCTAAGGTGAGTGTTCCATCTGGTAAAATCAGAGAGCATTTACAATTTTGGAAATCATTGACTGATGATGAATGGATTTTAGATACTGTGAGTGGTCTTACACTTGAGTTTGTAGAGATCCCTGTGCAACATAAATTGCCGGGACCAATATCTTTTAGTAAGGATGAGATGGAGATTGTTGATTCTGAGGTGAATGATTTGATATCTAAAGGGGCAATAACTCAGTCTATTCATGAGAAAGGTGAATTTGTTTCTAATTTGTTCCTGGTCCAAAAGAAAAATGGTAAATTTAGGCCGGTCATTAATTTGAGGAAGTTGAACGAGTTTGTTGTTTATCACAATTTTAAGCAGGAGACCTTAGATGTAGTCCTAGAATCTGTAGAGAGAGGTGATTTTTTCACTTCTATTGATCTCAAGGATGCATATTTCAGTATACCAGTGAACAAACATCATAGGAAATACCTGAAATTCAAATGGAGAGGTATACTATATGAGTTTATGGCTATGCCCTTCGGTTTGACAAGTGCCCCTCGTATATTTACCAAAGTACTGAAGCCAATTATGGCTAAAGTTCGCAGTCTGGGTATCCATGCTTTCTATTACATAGATGACTCATTGGTCAAGGCTGCTAACAGAGAGGTTTGTGAAAGAAACTGTAAGGTGTTAGCTGGAATTTTTTGAATCTGCTGGGTTCCAGATTAGTTCTGAAAAGTCTTTGTTTTCTGCTAGTCAGATAGTCATTCATCTTGGGTATTTGATAGATTCTATCACATTTACTGTTTCATTACCAGAACAAAAGGTGAAGAAAATTGTAGATGCATGTTCCCATGTGTTAGG